GAACGAAACCAGCAAGAACGTCGTCTGTGGAAGTCTTGCCGGCAACGATGATGAGATGGATGCGATGAGAAACCAGGGTTAAAAGGGTAATCTGTCAAATAAGTCAAGAGGGTTTAACTTATCAAAAACGACTTATTACCGGTTTGGTACCGGTATAAGCACTTTTTTTTTTTTTTATCCAAACACTCCAAAATGACTTATTACCGGTTTGGCACCGGTATAAGTCAATAAGTCCGTTTGAAACGCTTTCCCAAACACCCCCTTAGATGTACATCTTTCTTGTTTTTGATCAAGAACCATCTCTTAGAAATGTATATGAATGTAGCAGACTTGTTTAACACACATCAAGTCCCTTACCTAGTCAACTACATGGGTAGATTTCCATTTTCCAACCTAATCAAGCCTTTGACTTTTCTCTCTATTCTCTTATTGCATAATGTTTTGAATTTCCCCTGCTAAATCCTAAATATAATCTCACTTCTTCTTGATCTATCCTTAATGTTACACCATCTTTTCACAAAAATCAACTGTGAGCGAAGACATGCATACATAATCACAAGACCCTTATGGGCTATGGCTACCACTAATTGTTCCAACCTGCCTGTAAACACATACATAACGTACCATCTGTCCATCCATATCGATCTACAAGCAGCCTATAAGCAAGAATCGCTAGTCCCAAACCAGGTATATCAACTAAACTCTTCAACATATTCGATTTTGGGTTATTCCGTTCGTTAACCAGTTGGTCTTTAATTTAACCCAGAGTTTAATAGATTCTGATTCAGAAACTTCTATTTATCAAAAAAAAATAAAATTGTTTGAATACTTGTAGTTCATTGATTTGAGATCATAACCTTCATTTCTCCAAAATTTACTTGTAAAAATGCAGTAAATAATTTTTTTTTGGACATAGTTAGCAGCCTAGCCAAAACTAAGATTTTCCTTTCGTATTTGAGCTCATTGGAAAAGCACCGTATGAAAATAGATGGTCATGATTTCAATGTAATTAACGAAGTTTATAAGAAAATCCGCATAAATTCGATGAAGAAACAAACCTTGGATGTGTATTCCATCTCGGCAAACTTAAAAGCGATGCCAAGGGAACCAAACAGCACAGAGACCAAAGAACACGCATCACAAAAAGGCTTCAAACGCAACTCAAAGGAACCCCCATTACTGTTACCCTTTTTTATCAAATCCGATATTTCCTCAAATGCATCCGCAATCACAGAAAGAGCGGTTCCTGTTTCAGCATCCTCGAATTCATCGTCATCAAAACCCATCCTACTGATCATAATACGACACAGGTTAACAAAAACCCAAATTCCCCGATCATCGTTTACAGTAACTAAACAAAAGAAAAAAAATTGAAAAGGAAATTAACGAAGCACTTACTTCTCCGTATCAATGGCAGAGGTGAAGTACGAAAAAATATCCATAGATTTGTTTTGTGATTTTGGTGAAGTTGCAGTTTGCGCTAAAAAAACCCCTACGATCGATGCATTTGAAGGAAAATGGGAGGGGGAGTACATGAAGGTGGCCGGTGACTACTTTTGGCGCCAGCGCCAGAATATGTGAGCTGGGGAAAGCGTAATGTGAAACTGGATTATATTCCCTAATTATTAAGAATTTTCATTTATGAACCTTGTATTTTGGTAAGCCACAAAATGTCACCCTATTTTATAAAAAATGACAAATTAGTCCCTTAAATGTTACTCTTTACAGTCCCAAAAAATACAAGACGGTCGCTTTTTAACTATGAAAAATGTTAAGGTCTCACTTTTTCTGGGAAAAATATTTTCAAAATTTACCAATTACAAAACTTTGATGAGATTAAATGTGACCCACAACTTTTTTTTTTTGAATTGATGTTGATTATGGATGGTTCAAATAAATATATGGATTATGAAAACATATCAAACTAAATCAAGTCGAACCATTTTTGGTGATGTGGATGGTTTGTTGGTTCAATGCGTTTTAAGAAATATCCAAACCTGATGGTCCGGTCCTATATGAGGTTTAGAAGTTCTATACCAATCGTTTAATCAACTGTATCGTTAGTTTATATGCATCTATATTTACTCTCTCTCTCTCTCTCTCTCTCTTTCTCTCTCACACACATACATACACACACACACACACACACATATATATATATATATATATATGTATGTATGTATATACATACTAAAAGAGTACTCACGCAATGCATCGGAATAAATCTCGATTTTAATGTTTAGTTTTTATTCTTTGTCTCTATCGATATAATACGATTTTATGTGGTTTTGAGAAAACGATAATGTTTTTATTTTTGAATGAAATATAAATTTGAAGATAGCATAAAAATTTGAAAAAAAATAAATCGATATTAGTATCAAATTAACTATTTTAATAGATCTCGTTTTTTTTTTTTTGTGTAACTTCTTTAATT